CAGCATCTTTTTATAATGCTGCCTGCCCCCCTCTAAATACCCCCACAGCAGGGAGAAACAGTTACCAGAGAATGGGGTTAGGGTTTCTTTAGTTCAGTTTCCCATCAGTTCAGCAGACATCAAATGAGCGAACCCTTATTAGAATGGCCTCAGTGCTGAAGTTTGTGAAAGATGAAAAGACATCCTTTGTTGCTAGATGTTTTTATCTATAGTTTAAGCTAGAAGTAAAGTAAGATAAAAAATAAAGGATTTCCAACAGATGGTTTTCACAAACGAGTTATGCTAAGGTACACTCCAAAAGAAATGTGGAGGTGGGGAAGAGAACACTACCTGCAGTTGTTTTCTAAGCTTATTTATAAAACACCTCACAGCATCAGTGGCTGTTAAAGATATATTGTAATATACGGCATTCAGCCAGGAGGGTTTCTTAGGAAGATCTTTGGTCAGGGACTGCATTGCTATAAGAAGAAAGTAGAGAATATTTTATTTCAAATTGGTCCAGTCTTTAGAAATAGGAGTAGTCATATATATGTCAATTATAACTCAATAAAAAAAGACGTAAGAACGTATTCAGAATAAAGATTTATTATTAACCAACCTACTTCCCTTCCCCCCCAAAAGAAACAGGAATACTCTATGCTGAACAATAATTCATGTTTATTTTTGTGTTGCTCTGCTTATTGCTATAACATTAGAATGAAATGTCTGGAATCTGAAGTTACTACTTTGGAACCTTTCAGTGAAATGAGGATGAGGTATGTTTCTTAGTTTCATCACTAGTGATTGTCCAGGATCAGGTGGCTGTTCAGGATAAGAGGAAGGTCAGAAAACATACTTCAGAGAAAACAACCAAAATAAATAAGAATAACAAAGCAGAGTTTAGCTGTGAAAGGGTTATGATTTAGGGAAACAAGAGAACAGATTGAGCTTGTAAGAGAAAGAGCGAGGGATGGAGGGAGGGAAAGGAGGGGAGAGAGAGAGAGACAGACAGAGAGGAATAGATTTCCTACTGAAATGCAATATCTGCTGTTCCCTGGACTGTCTTCCTGCTCCAGGACTTCTTTCCATTAGAAATTTAGAGGATGTTTTATTTTCTGACACATTCCTTTCAGGACAGTGAAGGGAGGCATGAGCTTGAGTCCCTGAGGACCTTGTTTTGGAGAGGAACACTGTAATAGCCTCTGGCATTTAGCACAAAATAGAATTGTGCTTTTTGAATGAGAGAACCAAAGTTTTAAGTATTCTCAAGGCCTTACTTTTGAGAAAATTAGCCTCTTCCCCCCTCTGTGTGTAGTAAAAACTTTTCAGTAAAAAGAAGAAAGGATAATTGTTAAATCCCAGAATTATTACTTTAAAAAGTTTACCCATAAGGTTTTTAAAACATGAAATTATCTATGTTTTTATTTAATCCACTTAACACAAATATTTCATTAATAGGTTCCTTTTAAATTAATTAGGGTGCCATTGGTTAATGACATTATGTAAGTTTCAGGTGTACGATTCTGTAACACACCTTCTGTATACTCCACTGTGTGCTCACTGCCCAAAGTCCAGTCTCCTTCCAGCTCCGCTGTTGACCCCCTTTACCCTCTTCAGTCTCGTGCCACTCCACTTCCCCGCTGGTAACCACCACACTGTTGTCTATATCAATGAATTTGTTTTGTGTGTTCTTCTGTTGCTTTCTGTTTTATATCCCACATGAGTGAAATCATATGGCCCTTGTCCTTTCCCATCTGACTTATTTCCCTTAGTGTGATAACTCGCAACATCCACCCGTGTTGTCACAAATGGCAGTATCTCACTCTTTCTCATGGCTGGGTTGCATTCCATCGTATACGTGTATCACATCCTCTATATACAGTCACCCATTAAAGGACACTGTCCTTTTCCATGTCTTAGCCACCATGAATAATACTGCAGTGAACATAGGGGTACATGTGTTTGAACCAATAAATGTTTTCAAATTTTTCAGTTAATACCCAGAAGATGCATTGCTGGGTCATATTGGTAGCTGTATTTTTAATTTTTTGAGGAATCTGCATACTCTTTTCTATAGTGGCTGTAACAATTCACATCCCCACCAGCAGTGTATGAGGTTCCTTTTTCTCCACATCCTCACCAACACTTGTTATTTCCTGTCTTATTGAAAATAGCCATTCTAACAGGTATGAGGTGATACATCATTGTGGTTTTGATTTACATTTTCTTTATAGCTAGTGAAGTAGAGCATCTTTTCATATATCTTTTGGGTATTTGTATGTCTTCTTGGGAAAAGCCCATTTTAAAAATTGGATTGTTCCTTGTTGTTTTTTGCTGAGTTGTATGAATTCTTTATATAATTTGGATATTAGCTAGCCCCTAGTAGGAGATATTATTTGCAAATATTTTCTCTCATTCAGTTGTTGCCTTTTTGTTTTGTTGATGGTTTCTTTCTTTTGCAGAAGCTTTTTAGTTTGATATAGTTCCATTTCTTTATTTTTATTTTTACTTCCTTGCCTTTAGTGTCAAATTTATATAATCCTCTCTGAGACCAACGTCCATAAGTTTAGTACCTATGTTTTCTTCTATGTGTTTTATTGTTTCAGACCTTTTACTTAGGTCTTTGATCCACTTGAGTTTATTTTTGTGTATGGTGTCAAATAGCAGTCTAGTTTTATTCTTTTGAATATGTCTTTCCAATTTTCCCAACACCATTTATTAAAGAGGCTTTCTTTTCTGCATTGTATGTTTTTGGCTTCTTTATAAAAAATTAGTTGCCCATATATATGGGTCTATTTCTGGGCTCTAGATTGTGTTTCATTATCTGTACGTCTGTTTTTCTACCAATAGGATACTGTTTAGATTATTGCAATGTTGTAGTATAATTTGAAGTCTCCAGGTTTGTCCACCACCCACCTCCAGGATTGCTTTGTCTATTCAGCCAGTGTCTTTTGTGGTTCCATATAAATTTGATGATTTTTTGTTGTTTATCTTTAAAAAATACCTTTGGGATTTTTATGGGGAATGCTTAAACCTGTAGATTGTTTTAGGTAATATGGCCATTTAAACAATGTTAATTCTTCCAATCCATGAACTTGGAATATCTTCCAATTTCTTTGTGTCTTCTATTTTCCCCCCCAAACAATGTCTTGTAGTTTTTCAGTGTACAGGTCCTTTACTTTCTTTGTTTAGTTTATTCTTAGGCATTTTACATTTTATCCTTTTTGTTAAAAGTGTAAATGAGATTGTTTTCTTCATTTCCCTTTCTGATATTTGTTGTTAGTATATATGAACACAATGGATTTTGTATATTGATTTTGTATCCTGCAACTTCACTGTATTTGTTTATTGTTTCTAACAGCCTTTTGGTGGCGTCCTTAGGGTTTTCTTTTCCTTTTTATTTTTTTTTTTAATACATTTTTATTGATTTTTAGAGAGAGAGGAAGGGATAGGGATAGGGAGGTAGAAACATCGATGAGAGAGAAACATCATCAATCAGCTGCCTCCTGCACACCCCCTACTTGGGATCAAGCCCGAAACCCCGGGCATATGCCCTGACTGGGAATCAAACCAGTAATCTCTTGGTTCCTGGGTCGACACTCAACTGCTGAACCACACCGGTTGGGCCTTAGGTTTTTCTTTATGAAAAATCATGTCATCTGCCAAAGGTGACAATTTTGCTTCTTCATTCCCAATTTGGATGCTTTTTATTTCTTTCTCTTGTTTGATTGCTGTGGCTAGGACTTGCAGTACTATGTTGAATAACAGTGATGAGAGTGGGCATCCTTGTCTTTTTCCTGGTCTCAGAGGAAAAGCTTTCAGCTTTTTGCTACTGAGTTATCTTATGTGAGGGTTTGTCTTATATGGCTTTTATTATGTTGAGGCACTTTCCTTTTATACCCAGTTTATTGAGTGTTTTCATCATAAATGGATGTTGTAACTTGCCAAGTGATTTTTCTGCATTTTTTGATATGATTATATGACTATCCTTTATTTTGTTAATGTGGTCGATTGATTTGCATATATTGAACCATCTGTCTGCCCCTGGATGAACCACAATTAATTGTGATGTGTTAATGTATTGTTGTATTCGATATGATATGTTCATCAGAGATATTGGTCTGTAATTTTTTTTTTTAGAGTTGTCCTTGCCAGGTTTTGGTATGAGGGTAATGTTGGCCTCATAAAACAAGTTAGAAGTATTGCCTCTCTTTAATTATTTGGAATAGTTTGAGAAGGATAGGTATTAAATCTTCTTTGAATGTTTGGTAGAATTCACTAGTGAAGCCGCATGGTCCTGGATATTTTGATGACTGTTTCCATTTTTTTACTGTTGATCAGTCTATTTAGATTTTCCAGTTCTTCATGGTTTAGTCTAGGAAGGTTATGTATTTCTAAGAACTTGTCCATTTCCTCTAGGTTATCAAATTTGATGGCATATGGCCTTTCATAGTATTCTTGTATAGTCCTTTTTATTTCTGTGGTGTCTGTTGTAACTTCTCTCTTTCATTTCTGATTTTGTTTATTTAAGTCTTTTTCTTTTCGTCCTTAGTGAGTCTAGCCAGAGGTTTTCAATTTCATTAATATTTGCAAAGAAATAGCTTGAGAAATGAAGGGGAAAGTGAATGGTCTAGACAAGGCTTTTCCTTATATAGATATATTGAGTTCATTTACTTAGACCAACATGAAAGAATGCAGAGCTAAGCAAATTAAGGAATGCAGCATGTTCTGTGTTCCAAATAATTAGCTAATAAAGTTAGTTTTGCCTGCTTGTATTGATGTAGTTTAATTAGTACTAAAACCAAGAATGAGATTACTGACTGATTTTCCTGTTTCAGTATTTCTAGATTTTCTTTTCCCTCGGGCCCTTGTTTTTTATTATCTGATTGGTATCAGAAGTAAATTTGCCCTCTGAAATCAAGGAACCATTAAGAAAATGTAAAAATTTTAATTAAAAAAATAAAAATAGTTATCCTCTATTGTGCCTTGCTGAGCTTGGTCATTTTCACTGTGTTCTCCAGGCGTACCAGGTGTCAAAGAAGAACGTTTTAAGGAAGGAATGACAGTAAAGCACTGTGCATTGTCTCTTGTGGGAGAACCCATCATGTACCCAGAAATCAACAGTTTTTTGAAGCTACTCCACGAGTGTAAAATCTCCAGTTTCCTGGTCACAAATGCACAATTCCCTGTGGAAATCAGGTGAGTGGTTCAGCTTATTAAAATGTGCTGCTTGAATCTGTAGACAGATGCTTAGGTTGTTTCCATGTCTTGGCTGTTGTGAATAATGCTGCATGGAACATTAGGGTACATATATCTCTTTAAGATAGTGATTTCATTTTCTTCGGATATATACACAGAAGTGGGATTGCTGGATCATATGGTAGTTCTATTTTTAATTTTTTGAGGATCTTATATATTTTGGATATTGATTTGCAGATATTTTTTCACATTCTGTAGGTTTCCTTTTCTTTCTTTCTTTTTTTTATTAATCCTCACCCAAGGAGTGAAAATATTTTTTCCATTGATTTTAGAGAGAGTGGAAGGGAGTGGGGAGGGAGAGAGAGAAAAAACCCCATCAATGTGACAGAGACACATTGACTAGTTGCCTCCCACACGTGCCCCAAAAGGGGGCGGGGACACAATCCAGGTATGTGTCCTTTCCAGGAATTGAACCCGAGACCCTCCAGTGTGCAGGCTGATGCTCTAACCACTGAGCAATGCTGGCCAGGGCGCCTTTTCATTTTCTTGATAATTTCTTTTGCTGTGCAGAAGCTTTTTAGCTTGATATAGTTTCTCTTGTTTATTTTTGCTTTTGTTGCTTGCACTTTTGGTGTCATATCCAAAAATTTGTTGTTAAGACCAAAATGTCAAGAAGCTTTTCCCTGTTTTCTTCTAGGACTTATACAGTTTCAGGTATTTTATTTGTTTTTAATTCATTTTGAGTTAATTTTTGTGAGTGGTGTAATATAGGGATCAAATTTCATTTTTTTTTTTTTTTGCCCGATCGACGTGGCTCAGTGGTTGAGCATGAACCTATGATCCAGGACATTGTGGTTCGATTCCTGGTCAGAGCATATGCCTGGGTTGTGGGCTCGATCCTCTGTGCGTGGCGTGCAGGAGGCAGCCGATCAATGACTCTCATCATTGGTGTTTCTGTCTATCTCTATTCCCCTCCCTTCCTCTCTCTCAAAAATAAATAAGTCAATTGTCTTAAAAAAATTTTTTTTTTTTCATTTTTTTTCATGTGAATGAGTATTGAGTTGTCCCACATCATTTATGGAAGAGACTATCTTCCACATTGAGAATTCTTGGCTTCCTTGTCAAATATGAGGTGACCATATATGCATGGATTTATTTTTTGGACTCTTGATTCTGTTTCATTGGCATATGTGGGTGTGGTTTTTTTTTGGTTTTTTGTTTTTAAATGCCAGTGTCTTACTGTTTTGAATACTATATAGCATTGTAGTATAGTTTAAAATCCAGGAAGTGTAATGCCTCAAGCTTTTATTCTCTCAGGATTGCTTAGGCTATTCAGCATCTTTATAGCTCCATATGAATTTTAAGATTATTCTTTCTCTTTCTGTAAAAAGTGCCATTGGAGTTTTGATAGGGATTATGTTGAATCTATAGATGGCTTTGGGTATTATGGACATCTTAACAATATTAACTTTTCTGATCTGTGAACATGGGCTGTCTTTCCATCTATTTGTGTCTTCAATTTCTTCATCAATATTGAGAAGTTCTTGAAACTAATATAATGATACACTTTCCAAGGCCCCATCCCTGGAGGCTGATTCAGTCTTGGGAGAGGCCCAGGAACTTGCATTTCCATGTGTTTCTGATGCAAATGGTCTTGAGCACACTAAGAGAAATACTGCTGTGAGGCTTGAAATTTTGCTCTTGGGTTTCTGTGATGAGAGGCTCAGGCTGCACTTCCATGCAAACTGACCATTTTGATGGAGGCCTTGTGGCTCAGGGCTAGGAGAACAGACTCTGGAGTACTTTTTGGCTTGAATGTTGTTGAGATTATTAAATATTAAGATTATTTGTTTCTTTTTGTGGATCCTTGAGCAAGCTCCTTAACCTCTTTGAACCTCAGTTTCATCATCTCTAAAATGGGCATAAGTAGCAACTACCTTGTTTTATTATGAGGATTCAGTGAATTGAACAAGGAAGATAAACATAGTATAGTGCACTCAGTAATGATTAGTGCTCAGAAAATCATCTTTCTTCCTCCTAAATTACTTGGCCTGATGTGATAGCCCCAGATTGTCTTAGAGATTTTGGTTTTAATAGTATTGGAAGTTTGGGCGACTTTGGGTATTTGTTTTTTTGTTCAATAGGATAATCAAACCATTTAATCCACTTGATTTTTTTTTTTTTTTTTTT